GCGGCCACATGAGACTGAAACACATCTGAAGGGAAAACAGACGAATATTTAACCTATGTAAGGTCACAGCAGTTTCACTTCTATAAATACCTCGACTGTGACTGACTTTTAGTTAAAAATACCACACAGATACTGACTTAGCATACAATGGGAGACAATTTGGACAAAGTGAATGGCTGCTTCAGCGACAGACAATGGTCCGGACACATCAGCATGACATTTATAACACGTCATTTATAATTCATTTATAACCTGTATAGCCCACATCATTTACCATGTGCAAGAAGCACATAATAAAGTCTGTGGTCTACCTTTTAGGTAATTACTCTCTCTAAGCAGGTGCTATGGTTTCATTTGGATTCCCTTTTTTCAACTTCTTTGAGCATGAACACTAGTCAACAAGTGCCCTTAGAGATAAGGTGGGTAAATACTGCAGGTGGATGAGATGTGGCGTCTAGATCCAGTGGAGTATTTAGAAATCGGCTCTGGGGAAGGGGCCTGGAGTCACCTAAGAGGATGCTCTGTCAACAGCCTTAGCTGGTGAGTTCATGGGGCAAGTGCCTGACTCGGGGGCTGCACGTTGGCTGAGAGGAAGAGCACTGGACCCCAGCCCCCCCAGGTGCATGGTTCCCGGGAGGCCATATGGCAGCTCCACCTTCCTGGTCACAATCACAAACTTTTTTTTCTTTCTATAAATGGGCTTATCTCTGGCAGAATCACAGACTTAAAAGTGGCCCAACAGAGAATAGGGTGGGAATTACTGCTTTGAAAAGCTCATGGATTAAATTAGTCCTCAGAGAGTGACAATATGCAAAGGAAAGTTCTCCCTTCTTAAAAGAGGCTACATTACAAAGGATTTGGTGCTACTTTCTGGCAAGGAGGATGAGGTGAGAGGGAAGGAAAAGGGCCCTGGAGCACTGTGGAAATCTACTTGTCATTTTCCTGGCCGTGGAACCAAACGGCAGCTATTTACAAATGTGGAGGTTAGGGTCCTTATTTATACTTTAAAAGACTTTAGCCGAACCAGGTGATTCCATTTTATGACATGGGTCCTATGAACTCAGAACGACGAAATCTTTCATAGATGTGACACTGTATCTCAGTATCAAGAGTGACTGGTCTGGAAAAGTCACACACGTGCATGTTCTTATCACTGGTGGGAGCACGGGTCTCTCCGCTCCCAGCCAAAATCTTCACTTGTATTTGGTTTAAAACAGTGTGTCTACTCGCCGCTTGGATTTACTGCGGCAATGGCCAGAGGCCAGACCCCAGGGATGACAGAATCCCAGGGTCATTCGCAGATAGGCTGAAAATACCCAGGTGGGGTGCGGGGTACAAGGAAGAAACTATTACCACCACCTGTGCCATGAACGTGCAGAACTTTCTGAAGAATTTCTTCAAAATCTCAGAGGGAACTTGAGGGGCCAATTTATGTTCAAGTCTGTGATTCAATGGGACACAGATTCACGTGCCTGTGGTCCACATCAGGTTTGTTTTGCCAAAGAAATTGGGGAAAGTGTTATCATTTTTGCTACATGGTGGTTAACCTAAACAATTTAGGTAAAAAAATGCAAATGAAGTGGAGAAGGTGGTCCCTGCCATCACACGACTGTCCGGGTGAGCTCCTACGCACTCTCTGTGCCCACCAGTCACCACCACCTGTCACACACCTGTGCAAGGACCTGCCTACTTGTCTCCCCAGCATCCCTGAAGGCAGGGACTGTCCTGTTCATCGCTGTAACCCCTTCTGCCTGGCACAGGGTGACCAATCATGTTTATGAAGTGAATGAATGAAGGAAGAACAAAATGCTTCCTTTCTAGAGTAATCGGTGCTACCTTGCCTAAATTAAGCCTGCTTCTTTAAGTGTGAGGAAGTAAGTGGTTACGTTACAGAGCATACAGAAATAAACGATTGCCTCATTGAATAATGAACTGGGAGCAGCAATAAAATTTGTCTGCCTGTTGTTCCTTAGTCGCTGCTCCACCAAGTAGCCCAATTTGTTAATTGACTACATTAAAGATCTAATTAAATTAAATCTTGAATAAGGCTCAAAAGACCTATGGAGAGCACTTTGTTTAATTAGAGGCAGGGGGCAAGCACCAACCCTATTGATCTGGTCAGTTAAAATTCCAAACAATGAATATGGGCAAAGTAAAAAAACATGTGGCCACAACTGCTTTTCAGTCTACTTTGATGATCTGTGAATACAAAGCTGCTCCAGAGACAGCAATGGCAAACCAGCTGTGCGTCCTGTAGTACCACAGGGATGAAAATGAAACTGTGCATCAGTCACTCTGCAGAGCTACACTTTGTGAAGAACAAAAGACGATGCCAGCCACAAAAGACAGATCCCTCTGCAGGGAAATGAAGTGTATTGGGTGGGTGGGTGAAGCCTTCTAGCATTCAAAGTTTAGTGAACTGGCATTTAAAGACATATACATAATAAATTCTTTGAGATCCACAATTGCCTTAAAATAAAAAGAAATAAATCCAAGTATGTATGCAAATTCCTGAGGACATTTCTGGTTGAGGAAGAGATACAAGGTCCATAACATTTTTTTATTTGGAGGTAACTGAAATGTAAATTATGTAAATTTATATAAAACAATACTAATTGCATAAACTTAAAAAGTAGTACATGTGACAAAAAAGGTTTTGACTACAGTGTGCATGTGTACATGTGCATGCATGTATGTGTGTGTATATAATTATTCAATGTCTATGTTAGAGTTCTTCAAACTTCTAAGGATTCTTATGGAAAAAAAGATGGTACAGTGCCCAACTTTCCACTCCACTCAACAGGGAACTCTGGATTTTACCCCACACAACTGCTATTAATTTTTGAACATTTACTATTTGCCAGGCATTGTCTACCTACTTGATGAGTATTATCTAATTTTCCTACATTGGGTACCATTATCGTTCCCACTTCATAGGAGAGTAAACTGAGGCACAGAGAGGTCAGGTAACTTGCCGAATACTCATGGTGACTTGGGCATGGCCAAGCCATGACCCCAGGTGGTCTGGTCTGGCTCCGGAGCCCTGGTACAGGGTGTAGCACCTCCACACCATGCTATTCTTAATGCAGATCTCCAGAGTAGGAGAAAACACTGGAAGAAGGGAGGGCAGAGGGCTTTTTACTTTTTGCTAGACACAATCAAGGGCTGTCTTGTGCTTTAGTAACTCAAATTAGAGGAGAACATTTATTCTAAATCATGATATGTAATTAAAGTTAAGACCCACAATTTCCCTTACAAAACATGCACCATCAGAACGCATACACTAAGAGCAAGCACATACCTAATTAGGGCATTAATCATAACGATCAGGGCGTGTAACCAGGAAATTACAGGTGGTGTGGGCCTTAGTGCTAAGTGAATTTCATCAGGTTGCCTAGATAAAGCCTTTCCTGACCAGGATGATTTATACCTGCTGATGCAAGGATGGAGCGTGGCACCCAATAGAGCTGGCTGCTGAAAATAAGCTTCTGCATGTTAAGACAAAAGGATACTCAGATACGAGAGGCGACAGTACTGGCCTTTTAATTATGACATCAGCCGTAAGTGAGGAAGAGAGGTGATAACATTCAAAATAATAATTTCTTCCATATTTATACATAATGGCAATTAAGAATACTTGCATGTGGATTAAAAACTGAATGTTTTACATATGCTGACCTTATCGAAAAACAAGTTATTTCCAAGGTGTTCTTTAAGGGTAAAGGAGAAAGAGCAATGGTGAAAGATGATAATACCTACTAGATGGATTTTCTCCTCTTCTACTTCAATTTTATCTGTGTGCAAAATTACCAGTCAGAGCACAACTAGAAAGCAAGCTTCTAACATTGCCAAGACTGAGAAAGAGAGTAAAGTAGGTCTAGCAATTCAAAGTGAAGTTCAGAGGGAACTGTTTCTGATTGGAGAATTCACTGCTTCACCCCCAGTCCAATCACAGATGAAACTCATGGCCAAACAAAGAAGTACTTACGGGTTCCTGGGAAAAAAACTCCATCTTTGGAAAACTGAGTGCTTTAACAATTCTGCCAAACATTTCTACACTGAAACATTAGCTCCTCCGGTAATGGATATATGTCTTAATGAAAATGGTTCTCAAACTAGTTCATCAGGCCCTGGGGTGAATACCAGGAATCACAGACACATACACATGTGTACATACAGAGAGACACACACACATACACATGCCTACATCTACAGATATTATTTTCACTTTAATAAGTCTACACTAAAGAGGTGATATTTTGCATTAGATTCAGGTACAGAAAAATGATAGCAGGTACTCTAAAGGTAAAGAAAATTTTATAGAAAAATATTGGAAGGGCAAAATTCTCCATGTATTTTTTCAAATTATAAAAAATATTATTCGCTTATCTTAAAGAAGAACATTTTAATTAGGCTTGGGGAAGACATGTATACTCTGGAGAGTGGTTTCGAATTATTGCCTAGATGTAATTTTACCATCTACTCAGATTTAAGAGTCCAGAGAAAAGTGTGTGTGTTTTTTTTTTTTTAATCTTACCTCTAAACCTTAGCACTTTCATTTTTGTTTTTTAATTTTTTTTGAGACATAGTCTCACTCTATGGCCCTGGCTAGAGTGTAGCAGCCTCACCATAGCTCACAGCAACCTCAAGTTCCTGGGCTCCAGGTGATTCTCTTGCCTCAGCCTCCCAAGTAGCTGGGACTACAAGTGTGCACCACCATACCTGGCTAATTTTTCTATTTTTTGCAGAGACAGGGTCTCACTTTTGCTCAGGCTGGTCTTGAACGCCTAACCTCAAGCGATCCTCTGCCTCTGCCTCCCAAAGTGCTAGGATTACGGGCATGAGCCACTGCGTCTGGCCTTCAAACTACTTCCAAGAATGACTTCATAACAACAAAGGGATGGCAATTCCCAAGACTACGAGTGCCACAAAATTCTCGGGCTGGCCTTGGCTCCATATGCCCAGGAAAGGTCTGCCCATGCTGGACGTGGCGTGCTTACCCTCCTCCGGAGCCGGTCCCGCTCCTCCCGGATGGCGTTCATGGTGGCCTTGGTACGGTTCAGCTCCTCCTCCTTGCTGCACAGCATGGCAGTGAGGCTCTCATTCTCTTCCCTCAGCCCGGCCAGCTCCTTCTCCCACCGAGACCGCTCTTCAGCCAGGTTGGGATACAGGTCCCGGCCCAGCACGCCCTCAATCTCCTCGACCGTCTGCAAGACACAGCCACAAAGGAAAACCAAGAACGTTAACTCGGAGCAAGGAGGTGGAAAGAAAACAGACTGGACAGGAACAGGCACCCACAGAGGAGTGGGTTCTAGAGCCACTTCATTGGTAATAGTGATTGTGACTAAGAACACCCCAAAATCATCTTCTCCCCAATTTCAGATGCTCTTGTCACTTGTGCGGGTTCTTGTCTGTGTTGATCAGCAATCCCCAGAGTTAAAACACTGTCCCCTCCTGGTGTCTGAGAGTCACCATGGTGCTAACCGCCACGTGCACACAAATGTTTTATTTCCCTCGCTTGAGTTCCAGAGATGGAGGAGACACATGATCGGGCAGCAGGCCAATTAGCGATCCTGACAATGCTATGACAAACATGAGTTTGCAAACTGCACACGGAATCTAACTTGAAGTCTCCTAGATTACAGGCGTCCCGTGTGCCAGCTAAGCCATCAGCGAGGTCACGTCACCACTTGCAGCCTCTGGTGCCCCGTCCGAATCTGAATGGTGTCAGTGAGTTTCAGTCCCAAGATGTGGGAGACAAAAATAAACCGCAGTGACACAGAAAAAAAGGAAGCTCATTGTGGAGGTTCCCAAGATGGCAGGGATTTAATTAATTAATAAGACAGCTACAAATTGAAGAGAATCTTAATAGTACTTGGAGGGTTTTAAAAAATTCATTTAAAACACGGTATTAATGGAGATGAAACACGCATAAAATTAGAAAAAAAGGGACGAACTCATTCTGCTTGCTCTCTAACTCTCCATTCTCAATTACTGTGCTTTGGGAAAGGAAGCGCATGCCAACTATTAATGAAACAGGAGGGAGAATTAATGTAGCAGCAGTGAAGGCGTGTGATAGGAAAAAGCTCTTAAATAAAAAAACATAGGGGCATATGCCACTCTCCGATGCTCACACTAGTTCTCAAATCTCGCTGCCCCTTTCCCATGTTGTGCCGTTGTCCTTCCTTTCAAATCTGAGACTCTCACCCTGCTTGGCTCTGCTCTAAGACCCTGCTTTGCCCCTCGCTGGTTGGCAGAAGTCCTTGGCCACCTCCTTCCCTCCCAGCGCTGAGGCCAGGGCTAGACCCAAGTTGACAACACAGTCAAATATTGGGCCTGGAAGATCACAGAGGAAAAAACACCACCATTTGCTTCTCCCTACCCCAAACCACATCAAGTATATATTTGCAACCGAGATGGATAAAGATGGAAAACCTGCAGTGTCATAAACACGAATCATAGTTTTACTTTGAGACACCGCAGCTCTTTTGTGAAGTCCAGGATTCCCACTGATAGAAACGAGCCTCGATTTTTCTCTTTGCCCAGGCTCCTCCAGGAATTTGCAGTTTGAATTGCTGGGCCTGAGCTCACTAAGCTCTGTTGAAGTAATATAAAGATGCCCTATCAACGGCACTCGACTTTCCCATTGTTCACGAGTTTGTGCCGAGGCGGTGAATTCCTCTCCCCTGGTCCTCCTTCAGCGGTTAAGCATGCCAAAGGTGTAGCTGAGACCCAGCCCCAGTGGGCTGGGGGTAGATGACTCAATCAGGCCTTGAACCTTCCACCTTGCTAGCACCATGAATTGATGACTCCTGAAATAGTATTCTAGAGGCCTTAAAGCTTTAATAAAACTTCCAAGTTAAACATACTACTTCAGAGTGCTATATAATAACCACACTAAAATCATGTGGTTCAATACTAGTAGTCTAGTGGTTTCCGAGGAAATTGTCCTTTTTTGCTACAAAGCCAGTGAACTTGACCGCTGAGACAATGACTTTTTCTAAAGTCATTCGGCCCAGCAAAAATGTATAGGGCCCCTGCTTCTACCTTGTGGCCCAATCTACAGTACATCTTTCGTAGAAACATTCATCCCTAATACGTGTGTGAGAAAACCACACTTCAGGAGAAGGATTTGCCCATTCCCCTCGTATCATCCCAAAGAGCCACGCAGAGGTGAGGGAAGCTACCTTGATGGCCAAGTCGCAGTGCTCGCTGGCCGTGGTGAGCTGCTCGATGTGCCTGTCCACCTCGGCCACGGAGAGGCTGCAGCTGCTCTTCTTCCTGTCGCAGAGCACATTCTCCAGCCCCGTGAGCACCCTCTGCAGCTCCGAGTCCAGGTCGCTGCAGTTGTCTGGGAGTGGATGAAGACAAAATGCATTAAGCAGGACAACGAATGCTCTCTGCTTCACTCACCACGAGGGACCGACTCAGGTGCAACGAACGCAGCCTGACATTTCTTTTCTTTCTTTTTTTTTTTTTTTTTGAGACAGAGTCTTGCTCTGTCGCCTAGGCAAGAGTGCCTAGGCATTAGCCTAGCTCACAGCCCTCAAACTCCTGGGCTCAAGCCATCCTCCTGCCTCAGCCTCCCGAGTAGCTGGGACTACAGGCATGCGCCACCATGCCCGGCTGATTTTTTCTCTATATATTAGTTGGCCAATTAATTTCTTTCTATTTATAGTAGAGACGGGGTCTCGCTCTTGCTCAGACTGGTTTCGAACTCCTGACCTCGAGCAATCCGCCCACCTCGGCCTCCCAGAGTGCTAGGGTTACAGGCGTGAGCCACCGCGCCCGGCCAGCCTGACATTTCAAGTTCAACACCACCCGCCTAATTCACGGCACTGCCTCTGGGGCTCGGAGCCACTGCAACGCTCTTCACCTGGAGGAGTTTCAGATTATGGTCATTTTCCAGATAGCTGAGCTCCCCTGAATTCTCCAGTTTTTCACTCAAAGGCAGCCATATCTTAGAAGTTTCTTTAGTAAGAACAACGAGGTGCCCCAGAAGGAGCATGCTGGCACTTCCAAAATCTTCTGATCAACTTTTCTGCTCAACCATTCAAACAGCACTAACTACAGAAAGATTGTCTGCTAAGAAGATCCCATCGCTTTACTAACAAACAACAAAAAGCCTCAGAATGAGCAGAGATGCTAGGCATTTTGAAAAATAGAAACTGTGTGAGTGTGTTTGCCTTCAACGAGCTTGAAATCAGGGCTTGCTTTCTCTAATATAACCAATCAATTCCCCTCACCTGTGCAATTTAACCCATATTTTTCCATCAGCAAAGAAACATAACAAATTGTTCTAACAACTTTCATATTGTTCTTCATATATATGTCTTGCAACCAATTCTAATAATTTGATTTTGACTTAAAAATCTGGGTTATTTATTTTTTTTCTGTTGCCCAGGCTAGAGAGCAGTGGCATCATCATAGCTCACAGGAACCTCAAATTCCCACTGGACTCCAGTGATCCTCCTACCTCAGCCTCCCGAGTAGCTGGGACTACAGGTACATGCCATCACACCTGGCTAATTTTTAATTTTTTTTTATAGAGATGGGGTCTCACTATGTTGCCCAGGCTGGTCTCAAACTCCTGGTCTCAAGTGATCCTCCCACGCTAAACTCCCAAAGTACTGGGATTATAGTTGTGAGCCACTGCACCTGGCTGTGGGTTACTTTTAGATGCTGGACATCTTGGGCCTGGTCAGGAATAGAAAAGTAATTATAATGTGAGCTAGATATATCTTGGAAGATAACTGTTCTGGGGGAAAAAAAAAATCCCCTCAAAGTCAAATGCGAATTTCTTAAACTTGCTATTTTGGATTTTGTTGATGTCACCAAGCCATTCAATTATTGTAGCAAGACAGATGTTGACTATATATAATCTCTCAAAGTACATCCTTCCGCCATATCCAGCCTGATTCCTGCATGAAAGTTGCTCAAAGTCTTCGGTTTCCCTTCTTCTCTCCTGCTCCCTTCTCTTGTAGGTTCCACACGCTACAGTGGTCAACTGCTTTTGGTCTTAACTTTGGAAGACTTCAAGAAAACTCTTAGCACTAAAGGAACAGGATTTCTCAGAACATTGTAGCCAACCTCATCTGGCTGCCTATTATAAGTTACCCAAAACTAGAGAGAAGATCAGCCTGAGGCTTTCACTCCAAGCGATGCACACAATTATTCCACCTACTTCTCAAACCTGTTCCTCCCGATCTCTCCCATCTCCATGAGTGGACACCACTTCCACCCAGTTACTCACGTTAGCTGAGGCAACCTATTCTACCTGACACTCCAAATTCAATCCATCGTATAACCACAACCTTTACAACTTATCCCTGCACTGACCTTTTCTTACTGTCTCCACGGACGCCACACCCTGGTCCAAGCCACCAACTGGTCCAGTTCCCAACTGGACCGCTGTAGCAACCTCCTACCTACACTCACCCCTCTGTCGCCAAAGCAAGCCGCTCAAAGATGTAGACCAGATCACGTGACTTTCTTAGCCCAAACCGTCTAATGGCCTCCCGTCGTCATTCCAGAACAGTCCAAACTCCTTACCAAAGGCTGTAAAACGAGGCATGATCAAGACCAATGTGCTTAGACCACATCGCACCATGGAATTCCCTGGGGAGCTTTTTATACAATGCCAGTGTCCGGGCCCCACCCTGGGCCAATTAAATCACAATCTCTGGGGGTGGAGCTTGGACACTCGAAAACTTCTTAAGCTCCTCGGATAATTCCAACCTGCAGTCGGAGTGACAGCCACTGACCTGGACCTCGCCTCATCTGTCCATCTCCCCTCGTTCACTGCTCTGTCTTCACGCTCCCGGCCCTCTCTCTGTCCCTGGAACATGCAAACTCCTGTCTGGCCCAGCAGTTCCTTCTCCTTTGCCATTTCCTCTGCCGAGACTGATTCCCACACCCAGATCTCCTCGTATTATTCAGCTCTTAGCTCTAATGCCACCTCCTCACCAAGCTCTTCCTTATCTAGCTTGGGGTTCCACCTCCTGCCCTGCCCAGTCCTTATCCCATTATCCTACTGTCTTTGTGGCAATTACCACTATCTGATCTGACTTATGTGTTTGTTATCTCCCCCCTACTAAAATGTAAGTTCCATGAAAGGAGGGACTTTGATCTTCTTCATTACTGTATCTCCAACATGGAATAGTGGAGGCAGTCAAGTATTATTTTTTAAATGAGCAAATACAAACATACTGCTATTTATTTAGGAGACAGCAAGACTAGACACACGGACTGTCAGCAGGAGCGTGCTTTACACCGACCTTATGCTTAATTCCTCCCTATGGACCACGTCCCGAGCAGATAAGAACCAGGGGACACCCGTCACTGCAGAAGACCCTCTGGAGACGGAGGGCAGGTGCACAGCTCCAGCTAGAGGCAAAGGGACCCCAGTGAGGAGCGGCACTCCCCAGCGACCACACAAGCCAGCCTTGGAAAGATCATTTATCCTCCGGTGCAGGTTTCCTAGTATCCTGAGCCGGAGCGAGCGCACGTTCCTAGGCAGGGAAGAAAGATGCCCCCACTGGGCCATCCCACGCTGATTTTCCCAGCACTGGCCCGCCTGCTGGAATAATCACATGGGACTCGTCTGCAGAGGGGCTCTCCCTGCACGGCTAGCCGGGCGGCGGCCAGGCTGCTTCCAGAGGATGCTGAGTTACAGGAGCAGGAGGGGGTAAAGGTCCGACTAGCGTTTCTTTCTCATTCTTCAACCAAACAGATGCTGAGCCCTGGACTCAGGCTAGAAGCAGAGTACGGAGATGAGTAAGAGACTGACCTCAACTGTGAGGGGCACACAGAGGCACGAAGCCACAGCCCCTTCTCTCAGCTGCTCACCCCGACCCTGGGGAAAGTATCCATAGAGAACACGGTGCGAGTACTGAGCAGAGAGCCAGGAGGCCACGAGAAAGGCATTTAAATTAACATACAACTGTTTTCTTTTTTTTATTTTTTGGGACAGAGTCTCACTCTGTTGCCTGTGCTAGAATGCCATGGCATCAGCCTAGCTCACAGCAACCTCAAACTCCTGGCCTCAAGTGATCCTTCTACCTCAGCCTCCCGAGTAGCTGGGACTACAGGCATGGACTGCCATGCCCGGCTCATCACTTTTGTATATATGTTTAGTTGGCCCATTAATTTCTTTCTATTTTTAGTAGAGACAGGGTCTCGCTCTTGCTCAGGCTGGTCTTGAACTCCTGAGCTCAAACAATCCACTCGCCTTGGCCTCCCAGAGTTTGCTAGGATTACAGGCGTGAGCCACCTCGCCCGGCCAAAATTAACATACAACTGTAAAGAGCTAGTGTCCACACCAAGGAGGGGTATAACTGCTTTCTTTGGTCATGGGGAGCTGAATGTGTATGAATACAGGTGGGGTGATGAACCCCACATACCCCAGTATGTTCCGAAAAGCTCTGCATTGTGGCTTCACACAAAATCCCATCAGTGGATGAAACTATCTTTCAGAGTCTGTGGCCTATTCTTCTGAACATACACTTAGAATAAATTCCAAACTCCTTCCCCTGGCCTTCAACATCCTGCACTATCTGGTCCCTGCTAGAGACTGGACCTTCAACACTGAAGGCTGGGGCAGCTGGAGTCTCTATAAAAGACAGGAGGCATAAGGTTAAGGAACCCGAGGGACTGTGATAAGCTAGCACAAAGAACCAAGTATTCCGGTACAAAAGGTGCCACAGTGAGGTAGCATTCACAGTGGCTTAGGATCTTGAGACAGGATAATATTCCTGTGCTTTGATCACCACTCTTGACCATTTAGAAAGGGCTTTCACACACACACATCATATTCCATCCCATTAGGCAGGCAGGTAAGCCCTGCTCCACAGAGGAGATATCTGAGGCTTGGAGATGTTTGGTTACTCACCCCAGGTGGGCAGCAGAGCTGGAACCACAGCACTGGACTTCTATACTCAGGGCTATTTTCGCCACACCATCCAACCCAGAAAAAGGATCTCTGAGTTTATAAGCACAGGCCAGCTCACCCAAGCACACATGCGTACCTATCCACAGCCATTGTTTCCCAAAAGAGCCAACAGAGGGAAAGAAATTATAATTGAGGGATATTAACTCTGAGTAGATTCTGGTAAGGATGTCTATTGTATTTCTAGAACCACTAAAAAAAAAAATACTAAGACGAATAGTTAAAAGCCAATAAATAAATTAAAATGAAATTCTAAAAAAAAAAATCCAGTTTACTTAAAAAAAAGAAAGGAAAAATAGAATAATAGAAAAAAAAATCAGAAGGGACAACCAGAAAACAAATAGGAAGTTGGAAGACTCAAATCAACCATATCAATAAGTACATTAAATGTTAATGGACTAAAT